TTCTTGTTTAAATTCATTAAATGATTTTGAAATGTAAAATGCCGCCATGCTGAATATTTTTTAAATTTTTTTTTAATTCATGGTATTTAAAATGATAACTCTGGATATAATCAACAAATTATTAAAATAAATTAATACTGAAATAGGATATATATCTATAAATTTGTAGTGTATGTACTCCATAATCGGTCTATGCTCCATCAGGAGTAACAGGCGTAAGTACTCCATAATATTCAGTAATTGTAATTTATTAAAATCTATAGGTTTGGTGTATTCTAATTTATATGGATTGCCAAAAAAATCATAAACCTAATACTCTCTTATGTCCGATTCTATCAATGTGTCGATTACCTACACACAACCTTACAAAATGTCTGACAAAAGTATTAAATCCTATCCGGAACCAATTTTTTAAGTATTCCTTGATTGATTAAGTACTTAATGAATATGAATATAAAAATAAAAACAATGTGCTCCTTTGGTGTGAACACTTTATTTACAAATGGTACCTCTTAGGAAAATTATTAGTATTTTATGTAACTAAATTTCATTGAATAACCTCCCATTACCATTTCCTGTTAGAACTCTTAGAGATTTATTACTATTGTGTACTGACAATACTAAACTCACTTTTAGGGTGAGCATTTTCGAGAAATCGATGGCGTAGCTATGTGTAGCCCTTTAGAACTGTTGTTGGCTAATGTGTTTATAGGTTATGATGAAAATCTAACTGAAGACTCATTTCAAGAGATTTGTCTGTATAAATGGTATGTTGATGACAACATAATCATAGGTGATAAATGTGAAGATGCGAACCGCTTGTTAAAAGAACTCAACACAATTCAAAACCATATCTCTCTTACATGCGAAGAAAAGAATAACCAACTTCCTTTTCCAGACATATTGATTAGTAGGAGAGATGATGGTTCCATCAAACGTTCTGTATATAGAAATCCGACATGGACAGGGCAATATCTTAGTTTCCATAGTCACTGCCCAGTTCACTACAAACTTGGATTAAGAAAGTGCTTATTCAATAGAATCAATCGTATTTGTACTAGCGATACTATTGAAGTAGAGACGAAGCTCTTGACTGATATGTTAATGAATAATGGTTATTCATCAGAGTTCATAAACCGCTGGAAGGGTTGCAATACAATTAGACCTATGAAGCTTCTGGCACCCAAAAAGCGAATTTACATTTTATTGCCATTTAGAGGCGACTCAAATAGTCTCATATTGAAACGAAGACTTAAATTAGCCATCAACAGGACATTTTATGCAGCACAACTTGTCATTACTGAAAAGACAAGGTCTGTTTTACCAAAAACCCTAACAGCACGTAAGCGATTGTGTCACATCTCACTGTATCTATCAATTTACATGTAAGCGCGGAAATACGTACATAGGGAGGAGCAATCATGATCTCCAAATAATGGTGGCGGAACACATACCCAAATGGCTACAGAAACAAATGAATTCCAATGGTCAAGTGAGATTACAGGATAGACAGACATTTTCCTCCAGTGCGAAACGTTTGGTTGAGACTGGTCATAAGGTTGACATCAAGTCAGCATCTGTAGTGCTGTACAAAAGCCTTCAAGGATGTATGCTAAAGTTTATTGAAGCCTTGGCTATACGGAAACTGAAATCCGCTTTGTGTGTTCAAAAACAATTTGTTCTTACCCTTAACCTACCCTGGTAATACTGATATATTATCCGGAGTGGTCATCATATTGTTTTTGTGTACTTTATTTCCTTTGTTACAGCTTACCTTTTACCTGTCTAGTTGACTTTTTAGTTTTCATACAAACATGTCTTAACAAGTATATGTGTGATCAAATTGTTCGATATGTATTGCACAAATATGGCATCATATAATTCTGATAAACTTCGTTTACTCATTGTATTATCGAAATTTATCAAAGGGACTAATTTTTTGATCCAACAAGTTCAGATTAAAATGAAGTTCCTAGTGTAAATTATTCTCTTATATACAGCATTGATATATTAAATAAACAGAAAAATGCTTGAAAATACCAGATAATTACACCTTTATTAAACATTGAAAAATTACGGTTATCCCCATACATTGTTTTAATACGATTCATCAAAAAGTTGAAGTCATTCGGTGAATAATTCATTTGAAACAATGGAATCGATTTTTTCAGAAAGAAATATGATCGGCGCATTCACAATACAATACCAACAGTCTGGTTAACATTTATTTGTAATGGTAACTTAGATAAAGACAAGGGAAGATTAAATAAATAAATAAATATGTATTAAAACACTAAGATTGTTAGTTACTTTATATTGATTCTATCAGGATAATTGGAATTCAGTATTTTTGTTATGTAAACATTAATTTATAAATTGTTATAAGGCGGTTAAAAAGATCATTGCTGATGAATCCCGTACTAGGACGAAACAGCCATCCAGTGCTCCCAGGTTTGGCATGGTGGTCTAGCTTCAATCGACTCATGAATTCAACTACTAAATAAATAATATTCGTTACGTTGGTAGAAAGCAACAGATTGTTTACTCGAGTTGTATTAGGTAACATGTGATCGGAACGTAATAACAGGAAAGCACTTGTATAACTTCTCTCTAGTTTGTAGTCAATTAACAGTTACTTTAAAAAGGTATAAAACTAAATAATAATTTATGTATCACCACGTAAACTTACGTCCAATAAAACACCAAAATATCATCAATTAAGTATTTAATATGCAAAGATGGTTAGTGGACAACAGTGGAATCCAGGACGCGCGTTTCGTACTGTTCGGGACTCGTCAGCCGGATGTACCTGCATGTATTGATGTTTAATCTGAGACTCGAACTCAGTACCGTTCGCTTCAGACATCGTCGCGTGATCCACTTAGCTAATGATTCCTGATAACCACTTGATTGTGCAATGGGGTGAAGTTGAAATTCACTTAGTATTGTTTGTTTGAATCCTCCCATTGTTGTTCAGGACTGGAATTGATCAGTCTCTTATTGGCATATGTACATACTGTGCATATTGCCTCGATATAGCCTTAATTCAAGATTGCAAATGAACATTTTTTTATGCACTACATACTAATTCATAACTATGGTCAAAAACCGAACCAAACAACATCGAAATACACAATGAATTAAATATCATTTTAAATGTCTGATTAGTAGATAAATTTTAATGTATCGAATTGGCCGTAGCTAACATTAATTAACCAATAATTTAATGTAAAAATACAATTTACAAGATAAACAGATCAATTTGTTTAATTAGTAAATGTAACTAAATTACTGATTTATCTATTTCACTTATTAAAACTTTCCGTTTTTGGTTAAATGAGCATGAGTAGGGTTTCCTGTAGGTAAAGGTCAACTTGAAAATTAAACCTCCTTCATAATTTTGTAGAAATTAGGTCTAAGTTTTCAACTTTTCAGATGTCACGTTAATAGTATGAATAAATTAACGGAAAACTGATCTGCGTCTTTCTATGGATGGATAAAAGACATTAGCTTTCTAGCCTAATTACCTTCTATATTTACCTTTCGGGTGCTGTAAACATTGAACTTTTTGTATGAAAAGTTATCTCTAGACTGAAAGACACCATTAAAACACCATAAATACATCATTTGCTCTGAATAAGTAAAAGTAATATGACAACTTTTGAATAGATGGACTTAGAAATAGAAACGTTTCTGTCAACCACATTTTAATTATTTATCATCAATTCAACATTATGCTTTAAGTTGGTAATATGTTTACATTTAGAAGTCACATTTAGAAAAAAAATCCTCACTCCCTACTTAACAAAAAATCTGTGTACTTGTAAGTAAAGGTGAGAGTGAAAATTCCTTTGTCAATTACAGTACTTCTGGGAGTCACTGTCGTTCATTTTGTAGATAATGATGTCATTTTCAGTCAGATTTCCACTGATTGTTGAATATTTTCGGGAATCATTTTTAAAATTATAAGTTATTACTGATTGTTTTATTTAGAGTAAATTATCATTGAAGAGGCAACATATCATCTGTCATTATGTGGTGTAGGCTACTTATGTTGACAGATATAAGTAGTATGTACCATCAATCAGAAGTGGAATACCTACCAACAGAAGATTCAGAAGATTGAATTGAAGAGACTAGAAAAAGAAACAGAGCGGAATTGAAAAATGAAGAAGTATGTACTGAACAACTGAAGAAAGATATGAAAATAATGTATTTAACGGATGATTTTCATATTTTATAAATTACTTTAAATAAACTTCAATCTACTGACACAATACAATTAATAAGGCCAACACGAGAATTGAAGTAAACACCTTTTTAGTAAGCTCATTTCAATGTTATTAAAAAAGAATATGATTTTACACATAATTTCTTCCAGATTCGAGTCAGTCAGGCAGCTACAACGTAGGACTAGGCACATACATGCATCAGTCCAAGTTGCCACATCTCATTAGCACAACGAGGTGGACAACAAATTCACAGAACTAGTCATTTCAGGGGTTGCATATAAAGATATAGTACAGAAGGAAAGAATAATTTGGTAGAAAGAAAGATATAATGCTATTTTAATCTCATAGTTTGAGGGAAGACAGAGACAGTATACACCTACGCCATTGTGATCAGTCCTGAGCGATGTCATCCAACCATTGGTTATGATAGTCACGCAGACCCCAACCAAGTAGTCTGCATCTACCAACATGGATCGAACAAGAATTTAGTGACTTCAAGGACTGATGCCACGTTTTGGTTTGGCCGCCTATAACTTTCTTCAAATCATCCCCAACACTAGTCAGCATTACGCGTCGTGGTAATCGATGTTCAGGCATATGTAACACATGACTCAGATTTGAGTCTGATTACTTTGAAAGATAAAACCATCTGGGCTATGTTTTCTTTGTTGTTGTTGTTGAGACATCATGTTTACAATTAATAATGATAAATTTACCAAAGTCTCTATTAATTTTCGTGATACTTTCTAATCACTTTTCATTTTGTAGAATATAAACAGTGGAAATGAAAATCAAGTGGTAACACTAAATTGATACTAATGAAAATTATTAAATCCCTTTAAAGATCCTTATTCGTAATGTTTTCACAATTGAAAAAACAAATTAAAAGATAAAAGAAAAGAAAAGAGAAGAAAAAGAAGAAAGAAAGAGAATAATAAAAATGCATTTTTTTTCTTGTTAACAAGATTTGGAAATTATTCAACGGACTACTTTCTTTTCACTTTGTATTTCACAAATCTTTCTGAGGGAAAAAAGTTCAACTTTATTTGAATAATAATAATAATAATAATAATAATAATAATAATAATAAGATTTATTTATTCACACTTTATAAATATTAATTTCTTTAATTAACAACATGATGTTTATATTATTAATACATAAATCATATTCCATATTAGGGTTTGAACGTCTTCTGTTATTGATTGATATTGAGAATTGAATTTTGATTGATTTTTATTAACATATATATGTATCCTGTTTTTGAATTGTTTCTAAGTAGATAGTTTGTTACAAGTTATTTACTTGAAGTGGAACTTAGGATAAACGTTTTTGTTTTTAAATCTTCATAATTTGGGAAATGTTGGTTAATTGTTTCTGTATTCTAATGCTGATGTTGGACATTATGCTCATTGAACAAGTCAGAGGCGTTCAGTACTCAATGGATGACGTTTTTGTTTTTAAAGTGAAAGGTATTGGGTTTGACGTCTTAATATGAATATTAGTACTGGGATCGAAATATGAGCACTTGATGAGCCCTAACATAGCACGAAATACATGTTTTAAATCCTACTTTCAACCATGGTCCATTTATTTTAAATAATATTCGAGTTTTTTTTAAATACAACTAATCTATATTCTTCTGAAAGAATTATGATATCCATGTACTACTGCCACGATTTTTCATGTATATGGGGACTTAAGAATCTTAACAATCCGGTTTCACTTTGTAGACCCACTTACTATCAGTTTGCTAGTAAAATAAAAGTCGAGTTTTGATTTAATCTAATTAGGGGCTCAAAAAGGTTATTTTAAGTTCTGACAATTTTTATTAAGCTCTGAGCCCAGTTTTCATGCTAAGCTTGAAATAATGAGATTTATCTGGAATCATGAAGAAACGTATACGATTTCTAAAACTTAAGTTCTGACCATCCAATGTTACAGTCAATTATGCTTACTCTGAGCCGTTTACGGTGTAAGATAAGTTTTGAATAAGTTATCGATTAATATAAAAAGTTTATTCGCGATTAGGTTGAACTTTACTTACGCCTGGTACTCCTAATGGAGCATAGGCCGCAGACCAGCATTCTCCAACCCACTCTGTCGTGGGCCTTCTTTTCTAGTTCTATCCAATTCTTGTTCATTTTTCTCATGTCTATTTCCATTTCTCGGCGTAATGTGTTCTTTGGTCCTCCTCTTCCTCTTTTTCCCTGGGGATTCTAAGTGAGGGCTTGTCTTGTGACGCAGTTCGGTGCTTTCCTCAATGTGTGTCCTATCCACTTCCAGTGCTTCTTCCTGATTTCTTCTCCGCTGAGATCTGGTTTGTTCTCTCCCACAGTAGGTTGTTGCTAATAGTGTCTGGCCAACGGATTCGAAGTGTTTTGCGTAGACAACTGTTAATAAACACCTGTATCTTCTGGATGATGGTTTTCGTAGTTCTTCAGGTTTTCGCCCCATACAGTAGAACTGTCTTGACATTTGTATTGAAAATCCTGACCTTGGTGGTGGTTGGCAGTTGCTTTGAGTTCCAGATGTTCGTAAGCTGTAAATATGCTGCTCTTCCTTTGCCGATCTGCGCCTTAACATCTGCATCAGATCCACCGTGTTCATCAGTGATGCTGCTCAAATATGTAAAGGTTTTTACATCTTTCAAAGCCTCTTCGTCAAAAGTGGTTGGATTGGTGCATGCTGCGTTGTATCGGAGAATCCTGCTTTTCCCTTTGTGTATGTTGAGACCTACTGCTGCTGAAGCTGCTGCTACACTGGTCGTCTTCTCCTGCATTTGTTGTTGCGTTTGGGATAGAAGGGCCAGATCGATTAGGTTGAAGGTGCTTATTATATTCTAATCGATACTAATAAATACAACATCAAAATTATCGTTGCTTACTGTCATATTGCTTTATGAGGGTTTCTCATTGCTATTTCAGCACGGAAAATTACTCCATCTATAAAAAAAGAAGAGTACTTAAAATGTGTGCAGAGAACAAAGGTTTCTGATCATTGAGGAGTTTTAGCAGTCTGTCAGACTTAAGAAAACAGTTTGCTAACTTATTTCCAACTTTTATGAACTACTCAGTGAAAGTTAGTGGTGCTTATTTATTTATTACTTATATTTCGAAGAAACCAATTACCATCGTAATCAATCAATTTTATTAAGAATTTCGTTTATTGCTTTTGATCTGAATATCTCTGTTCTGGGTTGTGGTATTAGTGTAATAAAGCTGCTAGTAATACCGGTATTACGTAACAGTTACCATTCTTCTTTTCAATCAGCAATAAAATAAACAGGATGTATATAATGCTTGACAGGACGATTGTTATGTTTTAGCTTGTCCACACAAAAATCTGAATCCTCTTTTTCCTATCACACCCTGATGAATAACACTGAATGAAGTTATGTTTAACAACAACATTTATGTACTGATAATTGTTAAGTGGTGCACTGCTTCTTGAAACTTCAATCAGGATCAGCCAGGAACTCAATTTTCACATCACCATTTTCAACTACACATACACAGTTGAATTGGACGTTTCAAAGCTCATAAACTCACAAGCTGATTTTAAGGGACACTCCGAAAGATTTCAAGAACTCTCACGTGTTTTTCCTCTATCATTATAAGTTGGAACGACAATTGAGCATCTTTCTTTTGTCTTTTCGGTTGCTGGTAGTTGGGCCGAGTCACTGGAGAAATAGTTCCAGGTTAATCGGAGGAAGTATTTTTGCGTATGCCCTTGAATTTATTATTTCGTTGTTTTTCTTAAGTAGCCCTGGGGAGGTTATGAAAACACTGATCTGGTTTTACACATGTATTACTTTGAAACATCTTCATAAAACTCAAAGGCGTCCCCAGTAATAAATAAACTAAGTTCTTTTATTAAAACGATCATTCTGTTATCACGTGGATAGGACCACCATGGATCTGGTCAATAACCTGCCGAAATAAGGTTTGGGGGATTCTATTAGCAGAACAGTTCAACATTTACTGCTGTTAAGGGCACAGGTTAAATGCATATGCTCCAAAAACCTGAATCAAAGCACTAGTGCAGTTCTCGCATACCTTGAGAGTATTTCCTGTATTCGTTTAGATTATCTTAGTCTAGTATTCTCTGAAACCACTTACTTACAACGTTGTTTGAATGTCCAGTAAGTAGACAGGTTCCAATCTGCTGAGTGGCATGTGTGATAAAGGACTTGTGATATTGCAACAGTTGCTATTTGTAACTGATCTCTGAAATCGAATTTTGCGACCTGCTTTGTAGTCCAAATGTGATATCTCTGATAAGCTAGTCACCCTCCCGGACTTTTTTGCGGAACCTAAATCTCCCTCTGTTTTCAGAATCGATATACTGAATATGACTGAAGAATAGTTCATTAAGAGTTTCATGAGGCAATGAAGTTAGCTTATCTAGGAAAGTGTGATATTTGATCAGTCTAGATGTATCTTTGTCAATTATCTTAATATATGAAATCTGCTTATGTTCGTGTTTATCATTATTTCCGTTATTAATATCATTATTAGTTCCCCGACACATTAGATATTCTTTTTATATCTCCTTATCCTACTAAACATATTTAACTCCAGATTGTCCTTTGAAATCAATTTTGACTTTCATAGCATCAATCTTAATTATTATTGCACAAATATTTATACTAATGTCCGGTTTCATTCTGTATACTATTACATAAATCTAAATGTATTCATCCGAGTGCTTTAACGGATTTTTATTTTATTTTTTCAATTGCTGGTTTCCTTCTGAGGTTGATATTCATTACACAATTATTATTCTTATCATAGATCAAAACTTTTCACTAAGTGTTCACTTCTTTTCTCTAAATAAATATTATTCTTAAGATTACGAAGTTTGTAATTAAAACAATAACTTGTGTTACACTTAAATTAACTTCTCAGACCCGTTTTATCTTCACTATGCATATATGACTCATACATATTGATATTTTATTATCCTTTTCATTTAATTGTAACTTTCATAGCATCACTCTAAACTATAACTGCACAAACATTTATTCTATCGTCGTATCTTACTGCAATTATAAGTTATTTTTTCTTAATTATTTTTTGTTACTAATTTAACGATACACACATATCTTGTTCTGTGTTCGTAAACACGCCTATTAGACTGTTTGCGTATTTCACGTCTCCTTTATTTCTATCCCCTTATTTTCTCCATTTCCTTCTTTAAACTCAATTCAATATTCTTCTCAATTGCACAGACTCGATTTATTATTATTAATATTCTACTATTATTGCTCTAAATTTTTTTTTAAATGGCATGTATAATGCTGACATTATTGAAAATTGTGTATTATTGCATTTTTTGAAGAAACCCGAAATGGTTTCTTCACAACACTTATGTACCCATAAGATGCTTGTGAATAATAATAATAATAATAATAATAATAATGTGTAGAAGAAGAGTTGAAGTTTTACCATCTTTAACATTTCTGATAGTCATGTACCCAACTTCACACTTTTTAGACGGTCTTCTAAGGTTTCACCACCATAGTTAATATACAGTTGTTCAAGAACTTACTCCTTCCGCAAGCTAGTATGCAGTATTATTATAAACTATCCAGTATGTGCTCTGGTAGTTGCGGTTGAATCAGCACTCATGCCAGAGACTAGGGGTTAACAACACTTGAAGGCTTTGAATTTTGAAATGCTCGGTCTTTGATGAGCTTCATATAGCCTAGGGGTCCATTGTGGGGTGAAAGAGTGTGATGAGCAGCATTCATGAGAAAGTATAGAAGAGAAGGGAAAATGAGAGCTGGCGGCTTAATAAGCATACAGGATGCAGATATATTTGAACATGAAAGCGATCACGATAATCTGCAGTGAAATGACCTTAATATAAAGACAATCTGATAATCGAAGTTGATAGAGTAAAGATTTAATTGCACTACATCTTGTTATAAAACCCAGACGTGAAATGGAGTATGATAAAAACCAAAAATAACTCATTATTTGAAGTCCCTAACATCTACGGCTTTATAATCAAATGAAAAGAGCT